GTTTGGGGGGAGGGTGAGTGATCCATGGGATAAACGGAGCTCCCTATGTCCTTTGCCCCATCCCCTTCCCAGTAGGTTTTTGCATACACTTGAGAATCTTATGTGTGTGCTCTCTTTTGCTGCTTGACTTACTTTGCAATACTGAAGCATTTGCTTAGTGCAAGCCATAGCTTGGTTATTTTAATTGGAAATACCATTTCGTTAGGCTAATTAATATATTTATCTATTTGACGATGTTTAATCTGCCATTAGTAGCTTTTTTGTACCTGTGTGATGATTTGCAGCTTCTAATATTACCTCTTGTGACATTTCAATATCGTCAGCAATCATAATCTAGCCCTCTGTCTGATCATAGCTATTTGTGAAATGTGAGGGGAGGTTTTATGGATGGGGTGGGTTGATGATATGATGCTTCTTGTTTCTGTCTGATCATAGCTATTTGTGAAATGTGATGCTTTGACTTGTTGATCATTAGTAGGCATTTATCATGTCAATTCAATGTGTTGTTGATGTTATTATTATTGTTATTGTTATCTTTATAACATAGAACTATAGAACTGCAATAATCTGATAGTTATATTTCTCTACAGGAAAAAGGGCGTCCGCTTCCTAAGTTTGGAGAGTGGGATGTAAATGACCCAGCTTCAGCTGAGGGATTCACAGTGATTTTTAATAAAGCTCGAAATGAGAAGAAAGCTGGCAAGATAGACTCACCACCGAAAGGTGACTCTGCACACAAGAATAAAGCAATGCTTGGAAAACCTCAGTCAGTAAGTTGTTAACCACATAATGGCTATTAGTTCTACTTATAAAAAAAGGCTATTAGTTCTGGTACTTTGTGTTATATTATAGTATTAGTACGTGTTACCATTCCTCCCTCAACTTTGATTGTTTGAGGAAAAAGGACACACTAAGTTGCGTTTATAGAGAATGTTGTTCGAACTGGTGTTCTAATAGTATGTCCCATACTAACAGCTGAACTAAAGGGCGATTGTGGTACAACATCAATTATCATTTTTCAAAACAATAAAGATTAACATTTGTAACGATATGTTCTGTATTATTTACAAAGGATCCATTATATAGTTGAACAATTTGCTTTTGTAGATTAATCCATATATCAGAGCATTTCTGTTTATGATTTGTATTTTTGCTTTCTGCCTGTGTTTTCAAGAGTGAAAACACCCGAAGGCTAAGAGTTAGTCTTGAGGGAAAATCTGAGAGCAGTCTTTCTTTCAGTACAGGTGCAACTTAGGAAGGGGTTCCTAAGTGTGTTTTCAAGAGTGAAAACACTTAAGGCTAGGGGTAGCCTTCTTTTTGTACGAGGTAGTACTTAGAGAACGAGCTTCTTTGTATGCTCGAGTTAAATACAAAGTTACTACTAAAACTGTAGACTATCTTCAAACTGTATTATTCTCATCCTACAAGATCCTTAGAAGTTACTACTAAAACTGTAGACTATCTTCCGTTTCTTTTATAGAACCTGAATCCAAATGCCATGCATATATCATCAAAAAACAAGATAATAACAAATAACTCGAGGAATTCCACCTTAGTGAGTAAGCAGTATACTATGTTATTATGCAAATTCTCCAAGAATTGATTGCTTTCATCAATTATTTTTGGAGCTTCACTATTTGGAAAAGGTGAATATGATTACTGATTAGTTGTGCATTAGTATTTTAGTTTTTTCTTAAGTAGCATGTCTGCATTTTATACGTAAATTTCAGATTATGACTTTATGGGTGCACTTTCTTTCAGAAAAAATGGTTCTGCTGTATGCAATCTACTGCGGCAGAATCATGAACTGTCTTAGCTCTTACATGCTGCACTGGAAAGTGATGTTGGTTGGAACCAGACGATACGAGTGCGCCGTATAACACTGGAGCTGTAGTCAAGATCTGATGAGGAATACTGGGATTTTTGCTGTTGTATTTTGGAATATTTTCTCAAATTGCAGGCTTTTGCTGCCAAAATATGAATGATATATATTTGTTTATTTTTTTAATCTTAAGTTCTTAACTACATTATTGCTCCTATTATTTTTATTTTCTTGCCAAGGCTAAGGACAGATTGGTTGTGTTAATTGATTTATTGGCGTTCTTGATTGGCTTTCCTTGCAACGAAAACATAAATATCGGGAGCTATACAAAGACACACACGCACACATTTATCTAATTATCATTGTTGTAAGGTGTTTGTTTAAATTAGCTTCATTAATCACACATAGTTTGTAGTTATTGAATTGTTTTCTCCTATTATCTATTTACACCATTACCCTTGGTATAACTGGTAAAGTTGCTGCCATCAGGAGATCACGAGTTCAAGTCGTGAAAATAACCTCTTGCAGAAATGCAGGGTTAGGCTGCGTACAATAGACCCTCCGACCCTTCCCGGGCCCTGCGCATAGCGGGAGCTTCATACACCGGCCCTTTCTTTATCTATTTACAACATTATAAATGACGTGAAATTTTTGACACGCCAATCTAAACATGCTCATATCAAAAACAATTTAGACAATCCAAATCAAAGAGAGACTAGTTTAAAGTGGTAAGTTGCCAAGATATCTTAATAAGTATTCCTAGCATTTACTGGAGATAAATAACTACTGAATTCACAAAATCCAAATCTCCTACATATTGTAAAGCAGTAAAATGGAGAGTACTACTCCTATAACCTATCAAAAGTCAGAGGCAAGACACCTCAAGAATATAATCCAATTCAGTAAAGAACATGACACTTAGTTATAATCATTCAACTATCATCATTTGTGTATCGAACTAAGGAATCACTATACATTATAGACATCAAAATTTTCTTGATTTGCAAGACTAGCACAAGTTGCCTAATTTGATGAGTGCCTTAGGTTGCAGGTTGGAATATCATGTGCAGCATTCTTGCATTTTTCGAATTACCTTATTAGAATTTCTGACTCTGCCATTGCTTTAGACTCTAGATGAACTAAGCTTCTTCTCAAAAAGGCGTCGCAGGAGGAAACTCTGAAGCTCACTAACCAAAAATAGAGCTATTGATTCAACAATGGCCTTGGCCATCGCTCTTCGCCCCATACCTTCATTCACTGTATTTCAAGTAGGAAAATATTAGCCCACACATCAATATGCATTTTCTCAAATAAAAAGCAAGTTCTTTTCTTTCTTTAGGCGTGTTTGGTATTTTTGAAAAATATTTCCAATTTTTCCATGGTTGATTGACTTAAATACAACCACAACAAGAACTCAGTATAATCCCACTAGTGGGGTCTGGAGAGGGTGGTGTGTACGCAGACCTTACCCCTACCTTGGGGTAGAGAGGCTGTTTCCGATAGACTCGGCTCCCTCCCTTCAAGAACTCCCCACCTTGCTCTTGGGGTGACTCGAACTCACAACCTCTTGGTTGGAAGTGGAGGGTGCTCACCACTAGAGCAACCCACTCTTGTCGTTGATTGGCTTAAATATGAAAAATATTTTCCTTGTGAACAAAATGACTTCCCTACCAAGAGTAGGAAAAATATTTTCCAAAACTCTCCTTCAACCCCCCCAATCCACACCCTCGCCACCCCGGCCCCCTACCCCTCACCTCACCCTAACCCCACCACCATCAAGAAGACATGTCCGGGGTCCAAGTTCGGAGTCAGGGTTCAGGGGTTGGAGTTCGAGGTCGGGATCGGGGTCGGCTCGGGATTGGGCTCGGGGTCGGGTGGTGAAGAATGTAACGCAAAGATTCATAAGATGATACCTGATGCCTGGCGCTCAGTCTGTGCTTCAAGCCAATGCTGTTCAACCTGTATCTTCTGAAGAGCTGCTTCTAACTTTGATATCTGTTCCAGCAATGGATCAAAGTGTTCTGGAGGCATTTAGCATGAAAACGTTACACTTGTAAGTGCAATGGCGAAGTCAGAAATTTTTCCTAGGGTGTTCAAACTTGAAAGAAGTAAAAAACAATTCCGACAAAGGGTGTTCTATATATGTTATATACTTGTAAAATATAATATTTTACATATATACAGTGTAATTTTCCGACGAAGTGTAGCTTAGTCCCAGTGTAAGTGTAACCATAGAGAGTTGCAAGAAAAAAATAAGAAAAACTGACCGAAGAAGAAAGAAGAAAGTATGGTTATGAACCAAGATAATTATTACCATCTTTTGCAGGCTGATTGCAGTGTGTAAAATGGCTAACATGTAAATCGAAGTCCATGTATTCATGGTAAGGCGACTTGTTTGTAAAGCAAAACTGATAAATGCCTTTTCTCTGAGCCATAAACTCATACATTTCACTAGTTTTGTCGCGAAACTCATGAACCGGCTCACCAGAAGGCCCCTTTATCTGATAATTGAACAGAACTGAACGTTAACAGCGTTGCGATGAAGAAAATGGAAGAAACAGTTTAACACTAGACATAAGAAACGTAATTTGTTATGCTTTCTAGATCCTATGCTCAGTTTATTTTGACAGGACTAGCCACATATTAAGAGTAATTCAATGAAATCGTCATGATCTTTTTGTTCCTCTTTTTCCTTAGAATCCTCGCTCTGTTCCATCTGCTGCTGCTTTTGACTCTTTCTAATGGTAAAAGTTGAAAACATAATTACGTAAATAAAAGTGTGCTTTCACACAACTTAAGGTTTTAGATGAGATGGTCACAATTCAACATGGTATTAGTCAGAGCAGGCTGAAAGTTCGAGTCTCGCTGCCACTCGTTATCGACTCTCACTGCACCTATTATCAGGAAAAATTTCCACGTGTTTAATTTGGCTCATAAAAAAGAATCAGGGTAGCATGTGAGATGGCGTGTTGAAAACAGAAATAGGCTGTTAGAGAGATGGTCATGCATTTTAAACTCTCAGCAATCTACACCTAAACCTGTTCATCTCAATTAGTTAGTATTTCCTTCACTAATTCTATGTCATCATTCCACAAATCACAAAACACGACGACAACAATAACAATAACAAACCCAGTGAAATCTCACAAACCCAGGAATTTCTTGGTTAGGAAATCCTTCTTTCTTTGCAAATACCTATTTGCACCCAATTGTTTTCTTTTCCTTCGGGAGATTGGAAAATTATCAATCGTGTTGCTTGCGGTACCATTCGATCCTACCTTGCTAGAGAGCAGNTGGGATTACTTCTAGAGTTAAAGGATACCGCTTATGGTGTCCAGATACAAGGAATATTATATTCAGCAGAGATGTTACCTTTGATGAATCTGCCATAACAGATAAGGTGACAGTTGAAGATGTCAAACAAACTGGTGGTGCATCAAAGCAGGTGGAGTTTGAGGGAAGATATATTTTCCCTACACAAGAAGCAGAGGAGGAAACTCATGAAGATTACCCTCTGGAAGAAGAGCCAATAGAGAGGGAGATTCCAACTCAGGAATCTTGATAACAACTTGAATCAATAGCAACCAGCAGGCCAAAAAGGACAATAACGAAACCTGTTCGTCT